TACCTTCCTATCTATGTGTTTTAGGAACAGAGAGTACAGCATATTGAGAAGGGGCCATGAGACCATATCTCAAGGCCTGGCCTGATGTCAGTACCTTCCTATCTATGTGTTTTAGGAACAGAGAGTACAGCATATTGAGAAGGGGCCATGAGACCATATCTCAAGGCCTGGCCTGATGTCAGTACCTTCCTATCTATGTGTTTTAGGAACAGACAGCACAGCGCGCCCCGTCTGGCCGAAGTGCCAGATATGCAGCCCAGTACACTACCTGGTCTGCATAATAATTGGACGTTTGGCCCCATTGTGCTGCAGGTACCTGCCTTGCATATGAATGAGGTCCTTAAAAAACATTCATTTTCCTCCTTAGAGGGTTGTTCCTAAGGCTCTGAGAATTGATGTTTACCTAGGAGAGGGGTGGGCTTGTGTGTGTGTGTGTGTGTGTGTGTATTTCCAGGCCTCTGGAGGATAAGTGGGTAAATGAAGTGCAAACCCACAACTCACACGCAGAAGTTGGCCTTCTTCCCCCGCAATCCCCTCTGGAAATTGGATGGGGAAAGCCCTTTTCCCGAATTGTCCTGTGAGACCCCAGTGCCTCTCCTGCTGACGCCTCTGAGAGCTCCCAGCCACTGGAACAGCCCCGGTGCCAGCCCAGGGCCTCGGAGACACAGGCACCAAGCTGGGCAGGAGCTGGTAGAGCCACCACCCATGATTCAGGGAGGGGCGGTTGACACATCCTAGCCTCCCCGAGTTTAAGGAGGGTCCACATGGCCATGCAGAGTTCTCCAGCCAGAGCCGCTCTCCGGGGCTCCCTCCTCCCCGCCAAGGCCTCCTGGAGCTGGCGCCCCACTCCGCCATTTCTGAGAGCAGCAGCCAGGGCCCGACCCCCATGCTCAGGGCGCATTCCCATGGCCCCACACCCCACTGGGGGGCATGCTCACAGTTGGGGAGGGGTGAGCCTGGGGCTGGGAGGCACCCTGAGAGGTGGGGTGGGTACTCGGAAATGTAGTAAGTAGTGGGCTACACAGGGGAGCCTCAATGAGGTACTTTTGGGGACAGGGGAGCAAGGATGGCAATAGTACGCTCACAGGAGACCTTCTGGGAAGGGGAAAGTCATGGTCAGCACAAGCTTTGACTCCCTCCTCTTTCCCCGTGGTCCTGCTCTCCCTAGAATAGCTCCCCGACAATCAAACTGCACGTGGAAATGCTACTGTAAGTTGTCTTACTTACAACCACTCTATTCCTTTTCCATTGCGGTAACAATTGATTATACTTCTGTTTGAAAATAAAATTTCCTGCATGGTGATGACCCGAGGGGAAGGGGGAGGTAGAAGAGGGTAAAGGGGGGATAAATAGTGATGGAAGGAGAATTGACTTGGGGTGTTGAACACACACAATACAATGTACAGATGATATAGTATAGAACTGTACACCTGAAACCTAGACCATTTTATTAACCAACGTTAATAAGTTCAATGGAAATATACACACACACACACAAGCCCACACCTCTTGTAAAAGGGGGAGGTAGAAGAGGGTAAAGGGGGGATAAGTAGTGATGGAAGGAGAATTGACTTGGGGTGTTGAACACACACAATACAATGTACAGATGATATAGTATAGAACTGTACACCTGAAACCTAGATCATTTTATTAACCAACGTTAATAAGTTCAATGGAAATATACACACACACACACAAGCCCACACCTCTTGTAGGTAAACATCAATTCTCAGACCCCAATAAGTTCAACGAGAAATAAAATAAAAATAAGGAAAACACTTCTATACACAATAACATCAAAAATAACAACTTAGGAATAACTAACAAAGTTAGGACAAAATTTGTATCCTGAAAATTAAAAGCAAATTCCTTTTCCCGTGTAATTATGCACTTGTTTCCACTCTCTCCTTCCTGTGGGAATCATGCCGCATTGGTTCTGTGCAATCTGGGGCATCAGAGCCACTGGCACACACCCCTGAGCCCCGGGGCCACCCTGCAGCCCTCCTGCTCTTCCTATCCCATGGGCTCCTGTAGATACGATACCCAATACCGTCTTGTGTGGCCATCAGTGGAGGAGATGGACAGTGAAGGGATGTGTGGCCTGTTCATATCCACCCCTGTTACTCCATGAACACAGAAGGGCAGCTTCCTAAGGAGACTGTTTTCTGATGCTCTGGTGGTAGCCTGTCGTGGGGTATGTGTGAGATAAGACCTCCTCTCAGAGAGAGAGAGAGAGAGAGAGAGAGAGAGAGAGAGAGAGAATACCAGGGCATCGAGGTGGGAAGGAGGAAAGAAAGCTGATATGTGGGGTACGTTGGTTTTCACGAATGTTTACTCAATATCAAGTGTTTGCCAAGAGCATTACATATATTATCTCACTCCCACCGCAGACCACTGAGGGTAAGAGGTTAGGGACTTGCCCCCAGGTGACATGGTTGGTGTCGCAGGGCCTGGCTCCCACTCGGCTTTGCAATACAGTCTCTGCTCCAAAGCCCTCCATTGTGCTGGGATCAGGGGGACAGATGAATGGCCAAGGGACAGTCAGGTCAGCCTGACCCATGGCCACAGAATGAGTCACCGAGCAGAAGAAACTTTGGAGGGGCTCGGCGGGGATCCCCAATGTCCCCACGTGGGAGCATGTATCCCCGTGCACGTGGGCTCAACCTCACACGGTTGACTGAGACACTGTCAGCCTGAGACACTGTCAGGGCTCCATAAACAATCCCTCTTAATTAGCCCCCGCAGCTCAACACCTCTGGTGCATCTAGCCTGGTTTACTGCCACGCCTACTCCTGTTGGATCCGGTTCTAAAGTAAACTGTGTTCTTTGAGAGCCGCTGCATACAGATGAGTAGGCAGCCAGTCTGAGCTGACCCACAGACTCATAAAAACCAACGGGGCCTCGGGCACCCTCACCCGGGACACCCAATTTCTTGGATCAAAGGTGCAAGGACCTGCTCACATCAAGGATCCAGCTGCTTTCTTGGGGACCAAGACATTGAGCTTTTGTCTCAATATTCACTCAAGCAGCCCATGAGGTAAGGAGCGAAATGCCTCGATGCCCCTTTGTAGCAAAAAGGAGTTAATTCTGATGGAAATGTAGCCCCTTTTCTACCACCTCGAATCTAAACATTCCCAGGCGGATACAGGTGTGGCTTTCACTCACTCACGGGATGCTCTGGTCCCATGTGGGTTATGAGCTGTGAGCTTCATTTCACAGCCCTGAGCTGAATGGCTATAGAAGCCTCATGCCTGGCGCCAGCTCCTCTCTTCTTGGTGGTACACGGGTGTGTAGGGAGAGCGTCTGTCCCTGATGGCATCTCCCGTTGCTGCAAGACCTTGAATAATAGCGGAACCTCTCTCAGGCCTTTTCCATGGTTCAGGTGGAGGATACAGGTGTCAGTGGGGTCTAGTAGAGAAAAGGCTTAAGACTCACCTCGGTGAAAGGTGTTAGTAAGACGTTTCACTCCATCAAAATGCCTTTCCTTCGTTGTATGTAATGCTGCACGATGCCCAGGGCATGCATTTGGCTTTCCCAACGTTTGTTCAGCTCCCTGAATCCTGCTGGCTCAAAAGCTCTATGACAGTGAATGCCACTGTTCTATGCTCTGCTTTGTATGAGCCCAAGAATGAGCAGGCACGGAGCCTCGTTCTCCAAACATCTCTGTCTTGTAGATTCTGTGAATAGTTGTTCAAAAGAAGTGTGTCTATTGCGAATGGCAAGCTTAAGGGGAAAATGTGTGTTTGTTTCCTTGAGTGGGGCATCCAAAATGAAGCGGGACATAGTGACTGTGGTAAGGAGGCCGTGGTAGGCGAGGATGTACCCAGCTCAGCTGTGGGTGCCCTTCAGACATGAGCGCGGTTTGGGTTGTCTTACGCTACCTTGTTCTGTGAAAATGTGGCTGCACTAAGTTTCCCCAGGAATGGTGGATGGGGTAGGGGTATCTGGGAAGGGATGAGTAGCAGCAGAGTTTTTTTTGGGGGGGGGGGGGTGCAGGGCTGAACTTGCAAAGAAGCACAGTGAGTGGGTCACTACTGGATGTTCTGGGAGCATTGGCTGTTGGTGGCACTTGGTGAAAAGTATGTGATGCGCTATGATTGCCAAGCAAGCTCTGCTCCGCGGAGCTCAGACTCAGGTTTCTCATGCACGTCCCTGCCTTGGGCTCAGCAATTCGTTTTCTTCGCTAGGTTACTAGGTCACGAATCTTCCCTGGACCTTTCACAGCTCAGGGGTTTCCCAGTGGTTCCGCTCTGACTCCAATGCTTCTCCTTTTTCCTGTTTCCCTGGCCTCCTTCGACCCCAGGTTTCCTAACTCCTCAGAGTTCCCACTGGATGGCTTATGTGTCTCACCCAACGTTCACTCCTCCTGGTTCTACCATTTAAGATGCTAATGATGACCACTGTCTTTCTTCTCTTCGTGATTATCCGTCTATTGATGTTATCATGATACATACAGGGTTTTTCCTTCATTTTTTCTTTCAACAAACTTATAACGAGCACCCACTGTGTTTTGGGAACTGAGCTAGGTCCCATGCCATGATAGAAGGGCCCTGTCCTCTGGCACTTACAGTTTAGGGGGAATGTTCAGGAAACAGGCTCTGACCCTGGCAGGGTAAACACCGTGATGAATGGGGACAGTTACACTGCAGTGTAGTCATGATGTCATCATTGCACTCACAGGAAGGACATCCTACGCTGCCTACAGAAGACCTCATGGAAGTATGATCCTAAAATCTCAGGGTAGGCAGGATGGGGCCTGTGGGGGCAGGAGGAAGGACATTCCAGAACAAACAAATGGCATTTACAAAAATACGAAGGCACGAGAGTGCTACATGTACAAAGAATACCAAGCTGGTGTGACTGGGGGTGGGTGGCATGGGGAGGGGTGAAGAGAGATGAGACAGGAGAAGCTGAAGAGCGAGGCCACATGACGCAGGACCTTGTGTGCGATGCTAAGGAGCTTGGGCAGTGTCTTGATGGTAGTGGGAAACCGCGTAAGGTCATATTTTTAAAAGGTTGCTTTGTCTGCAAAGCACAAGGTAGACCATTGCTGGGGAAGCCAAGTAGGAAATGCTAAGAGGCAGGGCACACAGGATCCAGTGGCAGGCTGGCTGCTGGGACCAAGCGCGGCTCTGAAATAAACACCTGCGAGTTGACTGACCTCATTCAGGAAACTTCTCCAAAGTCCAAGTGATGAACAAACTTTGAATGGAAAAGAGCATTTTCTCGACATTAACCCCGGCCCCCTCCCCCATATCCACCATGGCCTCTTGGCCTCAGGGAGATGAGTTGACGGCCCCCAGATGTTACGGGGAGACAGGGATTGTGTGGGGCAGTGAGCTGGGTTTTCAGCTGCCTCCTCCTCAGAAACAAGCCCACGACCACTTGCTTTTTGCACCTTCGAAACGCATGCATATCTGGGGAGAAGGAGCATTTTTCTTCTTCTTTTTTTCAATCCTCACAGGAGGATATTTTTCCATTGATTTTTAGGGAGAGTGGAAGAGCGAGGGAAAGACAGAGAGAAATATCAATGTGAGAGAAACACATCAATTGGTTGCCTCCTGCACGTGCCCTGACCAGGGCCCGGGCCCTAGAGAAGCCTGCAGCCGAGGTATGTGCCCTTGACCGGAATCGAACCCAGAACCCTTTGGTCCGCAGCCTGATGCTCTACCCACTGAGCCAAACCGGCTAGGGCAGAAGGAGCATTTCAGCACAGTGCGCATGCGTCTCTTTCCCCTGAGTGCCTAGGTCTTAGATGAGGCTGAGGGTATCAGCGTCTTGGTCCACATGACGCCCCTTCAGGTGCACTGGGGGAGCTCTGGGCTGAGGAAGCTGAGCAAGTCCCACAGGCAGAAAGAGGCAGCGCTGGGCCGCAGACATGCCTCTGTCAGACCCCAGTGTCCTCCACACAGCCCTCCTCCTTCCACTTGGCAGGTGTGGCAAGAGGTCTTAAATTATTAAATGCAGTCACGGAGTTCAGAATTTCTGGAAAAGTCAGCACTTTGGGGTTTAGTTTCTGACCTACTTCAGACGAGCCACTTTAGCGATGCCAGCCACATTGCTGTTAGTGCTATAGGGCCCGAGAAGGACAGTATGCCAGAATACGCATCGTGTTGCTAGCTCAAGTCACTGTGAGTGCATTTACAGGCACAAAAAGCAAAGTTTGCTCAATAATGAATTGAGGGTGGTTGGCCACAGTAATTCGTTTTAAAGACTTCTGTTTACCACCTCGCTCTTCTCCACGGCAGCTGGACATTTTCCGAAGTAGGAGTGATGGGCAGCTTGAGAAGGGGCTTGAGAGAAAGCCATCTGTATGCACTTCGGGGCCACTAAGATCATTCTGGTTTTACAGGTTGAGGAAAGAAAGTACAGAACTGTGTCCTGACCGGGTAGCTCAGTGATGGAGCGTCAGCCCAATGAAGGGTCTCAGGTTCGATTTCCAGTCAAGGGCATGTTCCCAGCCCCTCTTCGGGGTGTGTGTGGGAGGCAACCAATCAATGTGTCTCTCTCACATCGATGTTCCTCTATCTCTCTCCCTTCCCCCCCCCTCCCTTCCACTCTCTCTAAAAATCAATGGAAAAAATATCCTTGGGTGAGGATTAAAAAAAAAAAGGAAGAAAGAAAAAAAGAAAGCACAGAATTGTGATGACTTAGTGTAGAGCCAGAAGGGAGAAGGCCCGAGACGTTCCCAGTCCGCTGGCTCCTGGAACATGCATGACTCGTGAATAATATTAACGCCACTCTGGATGGCAGAAAGTGGTTGGCTCGATTATGTCACTCATAGATCTTCTTGAGCAAACAGGGAGTGTGTGGACATCGGGGACACAAAACAGAATACAAACACCCCCCCCCCCAAAAAAAAAGGGATGAGGGAAAATCAGAGTGGAGATATACAGGAGGGAGACGCCTAGAAAAGTGAACCAGAAACAAAAAATAGCCTGAAGGTCAAAGGGGTCACAGGGGTTCGTTCTCTGCCGGGTTTGTTATGAAGGACGTTCAGAGGGTGAATGTCGCCGTCCTGGCCATTACCTTGTCAGAATCCACAAGCAAACACCAGGAGAGATGCCCATACACACGGGACTCCCTGGTTCTGTCTGAAGAGAACAGCAGAAAGAAGCAAGAAGAACGCACACAACGGGCCCCCTCAAGGCTGTTGGGAATCCAAAGATGCTGCACCCCAAGCAGTTGCTTCCCGAAAACTCTTACAGAGGGCTCAGCCTGTTCATATAAAACTCAACCCAACATCGTCACATGAAAACACAGAGCAAAGGGTTACTTTTAAGCAGTCACTCTAAGGGCTCATCAAGGCCAGCTCACCCACTGCACAGATGGAGGAACTGAGGCCTAGACGAGTGCCATGACTTGCTCAGGTCCCTAGGAAAAAAAGAAATCTGAATTCGCCCAGCATTGCTTTGGAGCAATCACATCCTCAATCAAAGAGGACTGTTATTTTCCTAATCCGTTCCCCAGTGTGCACAGACTGTGTGTGTGTGTGTGTGTGTGTGTGTGTGTGTGTGTGTATGCTCGAGCGCTCGAGTGCCTGCACGCACCATGCTCCGTCCTGCAGTTACGCAGCCTGATAAAAGTTGCTTCTGGTTGGATGCATGTCACCCACCTCCCCCTCTGAGAGCAGATGCCTTTGATGCTCTGTGAAAGTACAAGCCTCGAATTTCAGTTCTTTTTGAATGTCCCGTTGCCCTTGACCCTCCCTCCCTCTCTTCCAAGTGCACAGACACCGGTGTTACTTGGCTGGCATTCAGGAATTGTGTCCACCAGGGTCTATGCACATGCCACTTGTCCCCGGGGAGCAGATCTAAATGGGCAACACAGCCCCGTTGAAAGCAACAGGTTAATGCTGTCTCTGCAATTAGAACAGCCCCCGCTCTCTCAGGTGACTGCCCCTAGGGGAAGGCTCATGCTTCGCTGCCCTTGATTAAATTCTTGGGCGCTTGCTGGCTCTATCCAGCTTGGCTATTTGTCCTTGAAGAGTTCAACAGAACTGGGAACGTATGAGTAACTGTTGTTTAGCTCCTTACG